AGAAAAGGCACCAAAAAAGCACGAGAAAAGGCACCAAAAAAGCACGAAAAAAGCACGAGAAAAAGCACGAGAAAGCGCACGAGATTTTGAAAGCGGGATTGGTGCTCCGAAGATTGTCCCCGCGGAAACGGTGGATCAGGACACCGGTGGTCCTGGGACTCCGGGGGTGGCCCTGGGGGAGGGGGTTGGGGAGTCTGAGCGGGTTGGGGGGTCTCCTGCCTGGCAGGTTCTTCGACGTTGTGCGTGGCATGGGAAAAGAATTTCCATGAGCCATGTGAGCGTCTCCTGCGAGACATGCCCATGCAGCCCATGCATATGATGCAATATAAATTAAGGATATGAATGATATTATTATATAATATATTCATAGCTTTTGGGTGTACTAGTCTAGTAGTAATAGTAGTGGTAGTAATGGTAGTAGATGTAACCCAGTGCAATGTAACTCAACATCAGGTTGGTGAAAGACTGGGAGTGAATGAGATGAGAGGGCCTTCGGGAGTGAATGAGATGAGATGAATGAGATGAGATGACAGGGTTCTAAACCTGCAAACTTCAAATCACAATTGAAGATGGTACCTTGTTGAAGTGGCCTGATTTCAGTTTGAGATTTCTGGTGCTTTTTCTCTTAGTAAGTTTAGTAGGGAAAGCATTTTGCGACTGTTACTGGGGGGGGGCAGGGTCCAAGGTCTGACTATTTACATGCCCTTCAACTCTTGCCTGGGAGCGAAGGATCCCCTCAAACATGCGGTGTCAACTTGCAAAAACGATACGTTGGAGGAGCCTGCGTACCCTTTTTCACAGTCCTATGAAGCTGAACAACTTAGAATGGTTTCTCTTGAAGCCCCCCATTTAATTGACATGTCGAGTATTAATTCATCCCCATCCCACGATTTCTTCCAATTATGTACTGGCCGTTGATTAAATTAATGTATTCTTTTATTCCTTCTCAATGTTCCCGAAAAGTTTCATTCTGCGCCAATCATATCACACAATGGAGTCTGTTTGAGACGACCTGAATCATCTTGGTAGGATTTACATATCATCACTTCTGAGTGGTTGGTAGGATTTGGGTATGATAACATCAGAATAATTTATGCGCTGAGTGGTTGGAGTGGTTGGTATTAGAACTTGGAAATTATTTGATAGAATGATTTAGGTTGAACTTTGAAATTCAGTTATGTGTTGAGTTGGGTCGTTGGTAGGTTTCAAGTATGATTGCTTGTTGCTTATGTTGGATGTGCTTCACTAGGGATGGACCAAGTCAATGTCCAAATGTTTTCATGAAACACTGGCTGAGTCAATTACTTAGCTACAACAAAAAAAACTCTGTCTGACAGTGTCAAGTAGTCAATGACTATGAACAGTTCATAAGCAAAACACATTAACCAAAAAAGTCATTGACAGGAAGAGTCATTGCCAACAGGCGAGTCAGTGACAAACAGTGTTTGATTTATCATGGTTGGTCATTGACAAGTGAACTTCCATATGAGTCATTGACAACATGATAGTCACACCCAAGTCTAAAACTTACCTACCAATCATGATATGTACCTAGCAGACTAATTCATGTCTCAAGCAGACTCCCATGTATGGTTGATGATGAATGGAAATGAAACTTTTCAGGAACATTCAGAAGGAATAAAAAGAATACAGTAATCAGTGGCCAGTGCATAAATTACTATAATATTCCCCCCTCATGCTTCAAGCGGCCCCAATCCCGCCTCCGGTGCCCGGAAGCGGGCAGCCAAGTGCCGCAGCATGGCCTCTGCCAGTCTCTGCAGTTGTGCCACCGGCGCCGCCGCCGAGGCATCGAGCACCACAGCACCGAGGCATTGCTCGGCGGCTTGGAACCTGTGGGCGAACCGGTGAGAAAACGACCGCTTAACCTCCTCGGTCATCGTCCTTGGGGATGAAAAACAAACACGTTGAAATCGAAGGAACAGGTGCGCCCGCGCTTGGCAATCTTGGTTTGGGGCGTCTCTTTGCGGTATTTCCTGCCGAAGACCATCACAATCTGCCCACTCTGGGTCTGTTGGGCGGTGCACGCCAGTGAGGCCAAGAAATCATTTCTGGGCGCATCCCCTCCGGGGTGCTGATTCGAACCAAGACCCTTGGCACAACCAGGGTGCTTAATATTACTATTAAACCATTACGGTATATGCGGTATAATGGATATTATATAATCATGATTCCACCAGACCCAAATGAAAAAGAATCACTCCTGAATAGGACGAAAATGCCTTAATGGTGAAAAAAGGCCACAACCTTCCCGTTCGGGTGCAAAGGGAGTCGGGGCTTGCTGCCACCATCTTCTTTGCCCCCACAGCCGCCTAGGCACTGAGAGAATGTCACTTGATCCAAGGCCCGCAGCTGATCCTTGCGCCGCAGCAATCGACCTCACCACGTCGCTGGTACTTCCGGGCGCGCGTGCGTGATGGCGACACAGCTGAAGAATGCTTCAAACATTTCAAGACAAAACCAATACACAGCACGCACAGATGGTTGTCTCCCCGCATTTGGTGGTGCCAGGTTGATCCAAGTCACATGTCTCCAGGGCGCCATTGCCATCCGATGGCCTTCCACACGTGAGATACGTGTCAGCTACGGCCGCTGAGAAAGACTGGTGGAGTTGCTCCACAAGAGAGAGAGAGAGAGGGAGAGACTACTAATTGCATGCATGACACTTGGAGCTCTTTTGGCCTCCTGCGTCGTCACATGGTGGTGGCGGAAACAACATGTATTATAGCTACTAGCAACATGAAGCTACTAGGGGCTCCTGGCCTTACTACTAGGAGCAAGGACGCTACTAGGGGCTCCTGGCATCGCTACTAGGAGCAAGTAGCTACTAGCATAACCCAAATTGATTTTGAGCCGTGTTTCTTTGGCTGGGCACATCCATCTAGAATCAACCGGGCCCCATGGAAGCTTGGGGGCCCCCAAAACCGGGCCGCAGGGCGACTGGAGCTCGGGTTCCCTCCGAGTCTTGAGACGTTGTTATTGGCAAAGACCTTGGTGCAAACACCTCTAGGATCATACAGCTCTCTCAGGAAATCATGGCGTGGCATTGCAAGGACCTACCAAAGCTGGGCACGTCCTTCCAACTCCAGAGGGATAAGGAAATTCATTGGATCTCAAGACAATTTCTGGATATTTCTGGATGCGGCTTGCGTCCTCATCTATACCTCCCACTCTGAACTCTGTTCTTTTGAGGGCTGCTTACGGTTGCTGTGACCCTAGCTCATACAACAAAAAATGCACCTCAATCAATCAAGGCCCCCCTCCACGGCCCCTTCAAACCCCAAATCCTGGGTCCACTACACAGGTGCTCAACAAATGGAGACTGCTACAATGCTTAACCTGCATTATAGTGAAACATAGTGAAACACATGGATGCAACATTATGAAACTAATTACCTCTTTGCTACAAGCAGTCGAGTTTCCATCCGCCAAGGGACACTAACATGCTCACCGCCAACATGCTTCGTCGCAAGATGCTGGTCATGGGGTCTGTCTGGGCTTTCGACCTCGAAGAGGAGCGGCGCACCACCGGAGGAGACTCCACCAGCCGGAGGTGTTTCTTGCCCTGGTAACGGGGGAATGCCAGTTGGAAGGCATGTGAACAACTTAGCACCGCTCCGCGAAAAATCCAATAAACGCATGAAAAGAACAGCTGGATATTCTGAATATTCTAAGGGTTGGCCGTTCATGCCTTTATATAATGGTTGATACTATAGACGTGTCCCACACAGCACCAATCCCATCCTGCCTCAACAAACGCAGGAGCCTTGGCTCCTCAACGACCTGGTGCAGTCATGACGGAAGAAGTGAGCAGCGACTGGCAGGGGGGTAGCAACAAATCACTGGGGTGGGGACCATTCCCAGGAAAGATGTCCTTCTATCAGTCGTTCACTGTTGCAGGTGTTGTGGTCTGCGGAGTTGCATTTCAGCCCTGAAACCGAGGCACAGCTTGCTCATGCATAGGTTCCCTCGGAACTCGGTTCATGACATTCATTTTCTCACTACGTGTGGCCTTGGCATCAGCCTTGATGTTACGTTTGCGTTGAACCAAAATCACGAGGGACAGTGATGTCCAATCAAGCCTTTGATCCCTAGAATCTAGACGGGACTTGCCGACTTGCCGTGTAGTCTCATCTCTCTTGCCGAGGATGTCCCCTTCCGAACCTTGTCTTCAGAAGGAACACCTTTGCAATACCAGGCACTATATATATAAGTCTGTCAACGCAGCTTCACAATGCTTCACACACTCACACACACATGATCTGTACCCAAGCCTATGTGTTTCTCATTCTTTTTTCATGCTCCAGCTGCCATTCCACACCTCAAAGATTTGTACCCTGAGTGCGGGGTTCCTGAACGACTCGCCATGCTCACAATCCTTCTGTCTCATTTGCCTTCTCAAATTGAAGTTCCGGTGAAGTTTGTCGCATTCGAATCATTCGATGCGCTCGGTTGACTGAACTTTTCGTTGCACCTCTTCACGCAATGTGTCAATCGTTGCTTCACTTTCGCATCGCCCAGACCTTTGTCGAACTTGGATTGGAGTGCTTCCTCAATGCAATCTCGCACACAGCTCCGGTAGTTGTGAGAATCCAATGTTTTTTCATCCTTTCCACAATACCAGCGGTCATCATCAAAGTAAGCCTTAATGCCCTCTGCACTTTTACCCAACTTTTTCAAGTCCCGTTCTACTTTCTTGTATCCGTCGATATTGCAGGAGGGGTCGTGCTCAAGGACTTGGTCAGACACGGCAACGTTATAACCAACATGAACTGCATAAATGAGGCAAAGGCAAAGGCAAAGGCAAAGGATGAACCACACGCACAATCCGCCGTTGATGAGGGTGCCAATGCTGCTAGGTCCTTGACTCCGAGGTGCCCGGGCAACAGCACCATACCCTTCATCATCTTCACCCACTGGAGTTGACAGCGATATGTTCCGTACCAGTGGCGTCGCATGTAGCCTCTCTTGCGCCACGTATTGAAATCGCGGCGAACGAAAGACCCTCGCCATGGTGCCAGTCACAGCTTGCTACACTGACAAACTGGTGCCAAAGCTGCCAAAATGTAGTTGACCAATTTACTTTGAAAGCTTATTCAGTCCCTGAGATGGGTTGCTGGATGAGTTAGACAAGGACTTACATGTAATCTGCAAGTTCCAGGTCACCGCGCCCCGGATCACACCGGGGACATCGATTCCTTGTGTCGCGGCATCGGTCCGAAAAAGTCCTGGACCGCTATGAGCACATGTCAATTTTCCAAGGGCTCTGAATGGTTGTGGAACTTTGGCCAGTGTAGTCACCTGTCGAGGGATGCAACTCTACTACTAATTATGACAGCGTAAAGGCAAACACATTGGATGCTTTGATTGTTTGTTTCTTGACTGGTGTCCATCAACCCAGGGGTCATCAGATAGTCCGATGAAAAAAGCATTGGTCAAGGACTCAGGATTCGATATCTGCCTAAGACGGCCAGCAATAGAGGTTTAGGGGTTGAAGTGGCTGCAACCGTTCCCCGTCTGCCGCCGTTCCCCGTCTTCCGGCACCTTGGCCCAATCGTTCAAGGATTCCACCAACTCCTCGAGCAAGTTCTCGGCCACGGGATCCAAGCGCTCTTCCCTGGCAGGGAGATCCATGGGTTCTTGTTGGGGTGGGTCACAACGGATGCGTGTAGAATATACAGTGGTTCCAGAGCAAATGGCACAAGTTACCCCAAGGTCGGTGGTTTAGTAGTGGACCTACTAGTCGTGGACCTCTATATAAAAAACATCTTGGGATGCCACCTACTCTCAAACCACAGTATCTGTCTTTTGTCACTCTGAAGGATCCAACCTTCAGCACCAACCCTTGGAACACTGTCGCGGCCAGGTGGTTGTTACCAGGCGGCTTTGTGACTAGAGTGTTTGTTGAGTGCAGTTCCAAGTAAGCATGACTACCCACAAAGCCATGAACCTCGGCTATAGGATTGAACGTCTAGTTAAGGGCAGCAGTTCAGTGGTGTACCTTAGCTACCCAAACATAAACCACCGCACGCCACTTTGTTTCGCAATGGTTGATGATTTTAGATTTCTTCTGGCCCCTGACATGCAGGACATGCCGCCTTTTTTCGTTCTTTTGCCTCAGGGGCCGGCACGGCCCCTCCGAGCAATGTGTCTAACGGCAGGCAAAGCCATCTCTGCACCGAGCGCGCAAAGGTTAGCGAAATGCCGTGGTTGAAGGAACTGGTTGCCTTGGTCGGCATGAAAGCGGCAACAGCCACTGTCAATCAAAGATTTTCTGAAACAAATTCAGATGGCCAGGTGATGGAGAGTGGGGGGCAGCAACTCTTGCATGCAGAGTGTCTCTTTCCTTCTTACTGTGAGGGGTTGTTCCTTCTGGTGGCCAATACCAGGTAGACCAGCGCAAAAAAATGAATATGGCTGGCCTCATCCGAAGACTGGCTTGGGGATGGGGGTCTTGATTCTGGATTGATTACTGGTCTTGTCACAATGTTGCTTTATGTTTTCCTGGACTGTCATTCTAAACGCACCCCAAAACGCTTGCACTTGGGGGATCCTCACCGTCCGCAAGTCCCAGTAGTCGGGATCTGTCCTGCCCAGCCATTCGGTGCCTGTCCCAAAGTCAGGGAAGCGCCGCCCAGGGCATCTGCGGGCGCAAGTGCCTTCGCACCACATGCCTAAGGGGTGAGCCAGCCACCCCATGGTGGAGTAAATGTGTGCTTTTTCTTTTTGGTCAAACGCAAACATGCAGTGTCAGTTGCAGGAGTTCTTGAGTGTATATACATATTATATAAGGCTATATACAATGTATTGCAATGTGATGTGAGATGTGTGTGATTGTGTGATTGTGTGTGTGTGCGCACGCCATCTTCGTGTAGCTTTTGCTGTTGTCCATCTTTCAGGATTTGAATCGAGCATAGCAAGCTGCTGCTGTTTAACTCAGTTGTTGGAGGAGATGCACTGTAAATGAAGCTGACGCTCTGAAGCTCTGCAGTCCAAAAGATCCAAAAGCGGAGCTGTTCCCGTTGTGAAGCCGAAAGCACAAGCGCCGTCACTGTGCTATGTTGGGCAAGTTTTCTTCACAACTCCCAAACCAAGCCATTGATGGGTTGTGTGAATTCCGGAGATGCTGAGGTCGACGATCCTCAGAACATGTTCTTAACATCCTCAAAAACATGGTGGTGCCGTCAAGACGGGAGAAGGGCCGCCAGGAGCAGGCGTAGGGGCTCCAAGGACAGTGGCTGTAAATTAGAACCTGACCAAGATGGATCGTTGTACTTGTCAACAATTAGCTGACACATCTCAACATAACTATAGGTTGAAAAGTGCCTTGCACGAAACATGTGCAGAATGCTCAAATTACCTTGAAATTATTGAAATGGTTGGACGTGAGCTTCAACTATTCACTATTCAACTGTTCAAGCTGGGACTGGACATTTGCTTTCAATATCCTTCATTTATAGGTCCCTCTCACACAGCTACAGCAGCCAAAACCTTGAACTAGATTCATTCTAGATCCTCACGCACCCAACCGACATGAACTCCAGGCATCCTCACCCACCGAGCTATTGGACCCTGTGAGCCCGAGCGTCCGTTCATCTCGCACCGCCGGGGGCGAAGGTCGTCGGGTGACCGCGGGCCAGAGCCAATGGCAAAGGAGCTGCCGGGAGGCGGAGGCCTCGCCACCGAGCCGACGTACATCGCCGTAATACATCCAGTGTTTGAGGCACAAGTAGAAACATTGAGAAACTGATACGTAATCAAAAAACACAGGCTGAAGCTGTTCAGAAAAAGAGATTGCAACAGTGGCCTGGCTCTTCATAAGCAAAAGAGGTGCCAAGGATTGTGATTTGAGTAAAGAGCTTGGATCGACCTCTTCCACAGGCTTTCAGCCTATGGCAATGGGTTTATGAAGGGGCTGGGCATGTGGCGTGTGATTTGAAGAATGGTTCGGACTGTAGGAGAGTCAAGGTGGATTGCAGTGGATCAGGAAGGACCTCGAGTGACTAAGGGATGAGCAAGACTTGACCTAGTTGGAGACAGCATCACAGGGCCATCCCAATCACACTTCCAAATCACAGGGACGCCCCAATCGCACCCTGTCCAAAAAAGAACAAATAGCAATGTTAAGTGTAAAAGCAAATTTGATATGGATGGGAACTGTCTCACTCCCAAACACCTACTTCGCCAGAATTGCAAGAGCCATCCTAGAGCAGTCAAAACATCAAATTATAACATTGCAAGTTCCACACTCTCCAAACTTGCAAGAGGGTGTCTTTTTAGCCAGCTTGTAGACCCTACTTCCCATCCATGATCTCACAAACTCTTTTTGCAAACTGCTGGTCACAACCGAGCTTGCATCAGAACAGGCATTCCACCGAGCACCGAGCATCTGGCTACAGGGTTTGGGGTTTGGGCTTCCCATCCAGCCCTGGTGCAGCCGAAGCTACGGCCCGTCCAGGAGTTCCGATCGACTGAGCAGGTCCCGCTCAGAGGCTTGGTCACCAGGGGCCAAGCGCATGCCTTGAGACGTTTTGTCCATCGCTGAGATGGTTTGGCTACGGTTTTGGCCAATTGACAAATGTGGGTGGAATGGGAAACCATGGAAAGCCTTTCAATTGTCTTTAACCAAAGTGTTTTTTTTTTGGTGAATTATTAACGTTGCCATTTTAAGTTTCGGGTTCTCTTTGTTCTTTGCTTTCTTTGTCACTCACTTCTTCTTCTTCTTCTGCCATCTGTGTCCGCACTGGCGTGGCTGGTCTAAACAGTATTGTTGGGGATTGTCTTTTGGAGGGCCCTTTCTTGTGCAGCAGATGCAACAGCTCTTTAACAGCACTTTACGTTAGTCAATTTCTCGAAATGACTTCTTTGACTTCTCTCACACTGGTGGGAACCATTCTCTTACTGCTGAGCCCTACTACAAGTCCTAGTTGGTACACAACTGTGATGCGAACAAAGCACCTTGAGAAAACATGTGCACATGAATAAAATAAACGTCCGCAAGGCATGAATCAAGGTATAGAACTTACATCTTGGATGTTCAGGTTCCCGTCTTCCAACACCCCCGCCAAAGGAACGGATATAGAGAAGCTCCCCCTCCAACGCAGCCCCGCTGGCATCGGGCTCATAGCCTCAACTGTAGCTTCGGATGGAGGCAACAGGGACTTTGGCCCCTTCTGTGCCTTGTCATTTTGTTTGGCAAGCGGCACACTCACATGTCACTGGCCCTTCAGAAGGTAGAAGGAGAAACGAGAAAAGAAACTGAAGCGGCAATTTGTGCTGACCTGTCGTCTATTTATTGCTCTTGCACTTCTGGCAAGGATTTGCATGATTTATGATACTTTATGATCGTATAAGCGCCCTTCCCTGCCCTTGTTGCTTTAAGTGCTTTGGCTTGAAGGCCTCCATGAATGGAAAAGAATCCTAAGAAATGAACACAAACTAGGCCTGCATGCAACAACTAGGAAGACCACATACTGTAAGCAAGCAACAAGGGCAACAACATGCAACCAATACATCAATTGTTCGATGGCTTTGCACAAAGCTCGATGCTTCTTTGCCAAAGCTATCCTCTAGCATCGCACGTGCTTTCTTGTTGGAACTAGTCAGTGGTTCTCGGAAACCTTACTCTGCAACTCTCATGGTGTTGATGACCAACAAATGTGTCTTGCAATGATTTGATGCATCAAGCATCATCAAGCCATGCAATTCTTCTAGTCAAATCTCAAAGGGATCCCATCAGGGGGTACACAGAAATAAACTCTGCCTCTCGGCCAATCAGTGAATAAGCGAGCATGAGCTACCTTTCGAAGATCTACACAGTTGGTTCCAAACTTCAACTCAGCGATACAACATGAAACAACTTAAACACAAACCTTTTACTTTTTACGATCTGCGATGGGCCCAAGTCGGCAGTCGACAGTGTGCAAAATACCACAGAAACCTTTTCAAAGGACTTCAGACCCTCTCTCAGTTTTCTGCTGAAGAAACCAGTCCTACTCTCAGAACCGATTCCCCTTCTGAGTGCTCTTCAGTTGGCCGCTTCCAGCTGAAAAAAAAGGAAAGT